GGAGGATCCCACTCCTGATCAGGGGAATGCTGGAAGTAGGCTGTGACCCCATGGGAAGCCTGCAATGGAGCAGTCTCCTGGCAGGATCTGCGGCCCCATGGAGAGCGGAGCCCCCATTGGAGCAGGTTTGCTGCAGGACTGGTGACCCCACGGGGGACCCACACTGGAGCAGCCTGTTCCTGAAGGGCTGCACCCATGGAAGGGACCCACACTGGAGCAGTTCCCAAAGAACTGCACACCATCTTCCCCTATATCCAACAGAGCCAATGCCAGCCAGCTCCAAAGACAGACCTGCTGCTGGCCAAGGCTGAGTCCATCAGTGATTGTGGCAATGCCTCTGAGACAACATATTTAAGAAGGGGGAAAAAAAAACCCTGCACAATTGCAGCTGGAGAGAGGAGTGAGAATATGTGAGAGCAGCAGCTCTGCAGGCACCCAGGTCAGTGAAGGAGAGGAGGAGGTGCTCCAGGCACTGGAGCAGAGAATCATTCCCCTGCAGCCCGTGGTGCAGACCATGGTGAGGGAGCTGTGCCCTGCAGCACATGGAGGTCATGATGGAGCCGATATCCATCCATGGAGGATCCCACTCTGGAGCAGGGGAATGCTTGAAGGAGGCTGTGACCCCATGGGAAGCCTGTAATGGAGCAGTCTCCTGGCAGGATCTGCGGCCCCATGGAGAGCGGAGCCCCCATTGGAGCAGGTTTGCTGCAGGACTGGTGACCCCACGGGGGACCCACACTGGAGCAGCCTGTTCCTGAAGGGCTGCACCCATGGAAGGGACCCACACTGGAGCAGTTCCCAAAGAACTGCACCCCATGGGAAGGACACACATTGGAGAATTTCACTGCAGGACTGGAGGGACCCCACTCTGGAGCAGGGGGAGAGTGTGAGGAGGCCTCCCCTGAGGAGGAAGGAGCGGGAGAGACGTGGGATGAGAATTTCACTGCAGGACTGGAGGGACCCCACTCTGGAGCAGGGGGAGAGTGTGAGGAGCCCTCCCCTGAGGAGGAAGGAGTGGCAGAGACGTGTGATGAACTGTCCACAACCACCATTCCCTGTCAACTGCACCACTTGGGTTGAGGAGGTAGAGAAACTGGGAATAAAGTTAAGTCTGGGAAGAAGGGAAGGGTGGGGGGAAAGTGTTTTTAAGATCTGTTTATTTTCTCATTTTCCTACTCTGATTTGATTTGCAATAATTTCCCCAAGTCATGTCTGTTTTGCCCATGACAGCAATTGGTGAATGATCTCTCCCTGTCCTTATCTTGACCCATAAACCTTTCCTTGTATTTCCTCTCCCCTGTCCAGCTGAGGCGGGCACCTGGGGTCCAGCCAGGGGCAACCCACTAGTTCTTGAAATGGAGGAAATATTTGTATAACTCTATGCAAATGCTATGTAACTTTGCTGCTTACAACTCATTTTAGCCCCTTGCTGGAATCATCCATCACCTAACTTGATGTTTGCTGCCTGCCTTTTTGCTGACTTTCCTCTACTCTGATCTCACAGGGGCTCAAAGGATTTATAATTCTTTACTGACCAACAGTCAGTGTGGTAACACTACAGTGAATTGAAAGGTAGCTGTTAAGACAGAGTGATCAGAACTCAGTGCACTAATGGAAAGGCTTTAATATTTGGAAGAACATAATTTCACTCCTGTAGCATTGTCCAGTGGCCAAAATTGGTCTTAAAGATGTTAAAGAAATGCAAAACTGCTCTTAATTTTTGCATAAAAAAAATTCAAAGGTAATTGTGTACAAAATACGTGTGCATACAACGTTATGGTGGAGTTCTGAAATGAAAACCCAGGAATTTTACAATGCTTTAACTCTACATCCTACGTAATAAAAAGTCATATTACATCATGTAAGATTGCATTATCAGGCATTAGTTGGCAGCAAATGCCATGTAAACTTCCCTCCTCTCTCCTCCCCCAGCTAGAATAAGAAAACAAGTAGGCAGGAAATTGTTTTCTTATTTTGTGCAAACGTTCTAGTTAAAAAATGTTTCTCAGAAGAACAAAACCAGAAAGCTTTCAGAAAACAAGGCCCCAGCACAGAACTTCCAACCTTCACCTGCCAGAAGAGACTTGCCATGTAAAGGCTGTTTCACCTTTCTGCAGCCAAGGACCTCAGCCTCAGTAGCGTGCTTTAACATACAGAACTATTTGCTATTATGGGCTAAGCCTCTCAATTTCTTCAGTGGAGACCCCCTTCTTTGTATAAATGAAAAAGTTCACTGAAACAAGGACCCGAATCTCACGTATGTTAAATGCTCTAACAAGGGGCTACTAGCTAAGTATCTTTCTCTTTTCCTTGCTTATTTTGACAGAAGTGTCACCATCCAGACTGTCAACTGAATCCCACAATAATTCATAATTTCTAACAACTTGTATGTTCCAAAGAAAGAACAACTATATGAAATTTCAGACTAGCTGTTGATGCAAATATTTATCTATATGTATTAATACCTGTGATTAGATGGAAGTTTTAGTATCACACTCCAGAGATGTCTATAGAAGGTCAGCTCTGAGTTCTTAATTATATTTTATTTGTGCTACCTCTAGAACCTTTGCAGTCTTGAAATTTTCTTATACAACCATATATGCTGTCAGGCGAGTTCTATGTGAAATAAATTCTGAAGTAAAATTTAGCTGCTTTTGCACATGGAATTCCAAGCCTTAATGTTGCACTAATGTAGGTTTTGGCATACAATAAAAGATGACTTACCAGGTAAAAAGAGCTCTCTGAAGCTGGCATCCATTAATCTGTCAAAATCTTGAGTAAGATTATCCTCTATTTCATAACACTGGAAGCTGTGAGGAAAGTTCAAGAATTTTCCTCAGTCTTCAACAGGTGTTTCTCGAAGGATGTTTATGCTATCATTTTGAAGCCTTATGTTCTTTTCTGACTTTCTAGGTTTGGCGGTTTTTGGTTTTAATTTTGATGCAAGAAAATAAACATGGATCCAGAAAGGAGAACTCTTCAGTGAACTCAAATTACACGACAGTCAATTTTGTTTTGTCGAAAGCTACTTTAAAGATAGCCTAATGATTACGTGATTAAACTATTAGAAATGTGCCTTCATCAAGTGCAGTAACATTAAGAAAAAAATTCCATAAATCTCACTTTGAACATAAACCCCAGGAAAAAAAAAAAAACCAAACCACAAAACAAACCCTAAGCCTAATGGTGACAATATTACGTATCTGGAGTATTCAAGGTCAAATGAAACTCACGTAAATTCCTGGAAATAAATCCATTCCTGAATTTCCTTATTATCAAAATGTCTAGAAGTAAACTAGTATGTATTGGTAGGTGGCATCAAGTAGGTAGAGTGTCTTCTGTTAAATCAGTGGATTTGGAATTTTTCCTTCCAAGTTTTATAGATACTGAATCTACCTCAATTTAGCTGAGCCTTACTGTGTATTACCTGAAGGTATCAATCTGTGTCTTTATCTTCTGTGCCTCTGAGAAGGAACTTAATACTTACTGGATGTATCTTGTTGGGCTGTGCTAGCCTTTTCTGGTTTGTTGTTTTTACCATGGATATCACAGTCATATTTTCACGGTGACTACTATTACTTGTATAACACTACAATTGCTGTGTGAAACACACTAGTGTTGCACACTTGAGAGATTTCTGATCTGGGCCATGGCTTGGACAAAGTACTACAGATCATCAGATTTCTACATGAGACAAAATTTCCCGTTCCAAGCACTATAAAACACATGTGCACATCCAATTACATAGGCTGCCAACAGATAGAAGCAATACGACAGTATAAGCTGTTCCATCTTCTGCTGAAGAGGAGGGCAGGAGAAAAGGAAAGAGGACAGGAGAGACCTTTCAGCTTCTTCAAATTTCTAAATCAGCCACCACAGAGCTGCACAATTGTCACTGCTAGTACAAGGAACCGAAGAGAACCAATTAACTGGGGGAAACACACTGAAGGATATTAATAGTTGCTATATTAATTACTATTGCAACAGCTCTGATTTACAACAACATAAGCCAAGTTTATGCATATTTTTAATTTAGATATTCATGAATTTTGCCACTAGTCACACATCACTGATGATGAAACATCAAACGACCACAACTTTTCATTTTAAATGTTTCACAGCAACCTTGAAGAACTCTGAACAGCAAAAAAACCCAAAAAAACCTACCTAAAGGATAACCTGTTTACAATTCTGAAACTTTCATGTTTCCCACTGGATTTTGTGAACGTTTAGTCCCAAGAGCTACAGAGACAGCATATACCAGCTTGGTTTTTAAACATTGATTTCAGAAATTAAGTTGCATAATAATACTTTGACCAATCAACTTACTTCTGTCACCATGAAATTTCTGACATGTTTTTACAGCAACAAAAACATCTTCTTTTTTCACTGGCTCTCCCTATATGAATGAACAAAAATTAATATTTTAACTGCAGGTTCTACCTGTAACATTTTATAGGGTATGTTTGTCCGTACATATAACAAAACAGAAAACACCTTTTAGTAGTACAGCATGACAAGTAAAATATAGACTTGAACGTACATTTTTGTTTCTCAAATAAACGTCACTAGTTGTTTAAAATGCCTGAAATAACATAACTGAAATACTTTTTCCATTGATGTAGTATTCTAATGTGAACTCATTGGGAAAAGAGAATGAGTAGTAGAGTTTGTTGAACTAAGAAAGATTAATCTGAAAAAGAATGCTTTCTTAATTTCTTTGAAATGAATCAATGGAGAATATGCTGAACTGTATCATACTTGGAAAAAGAAGCTTAAATGCTACACACTAAAAATCTTTGAATTTCCTCCAGTGTAATAAAATATTTTAACCACTTTTATTTGTTTTCCTTTTGGCATCTAGAATTTTCCTCACCTGGAAGCATGGAACACTTTTTGGCCTCTAACAACACTTCACCCATAATATCATAACTGTATTCTCCTAGATGTGGAAGAGATGGGGTGTACTTTAGTGCACTTAATACTGTATTACATTTTATCTTTAGTCTCAAGAAGTTTTAGATTCCCATCAGTGAAAAAAAGATTATCTATACTTCAGTCTCTCACAGAAATGTAAAGAGAAATGCTTTACAAATCATGCACGGATCAAACATTGTGGTAGAAAGACCCATTAAAGCATATGTAGTATTTGTTTGCCATGAAATATCCTGTGCCACGGAAGGCTGAAATCATAGCCAGAAATAGATAAATGCCAGAACAAACTTTTTTTTTAACTTATTGAAAAATATTTTCTTAAGGTTTGAGATTATTAAAGTCAAGTTTTATGCATTTTAGTAAGAGCTTTACTTTAACTAAGCAAGTATTTAAAATATGGTACTTACACAAAGTGGCAGAAAATTACTGAATGTTGTTGCACAATGATCAGCCTTATATGAGTTCACATCATCTGTGCAGAACTCAGGCACTGGAGTAAGATGTGGTCCTTCCCCTTTCTGCCAAATATACAAGGCAATCTATCAAAATAGAGAACAGATATATCAGTAATGAAACTGGATAAAAATTCTCAGGGTATACAAAGAAAGCATATTAGAGAGTAAACTTAACAGGAAAACTGAAAAACACAGGATGCTGTAGAAGATTTGTGCCTTAGTTGATTATCTAGCTGCATATCTTACATCGTGCTCCCATTTCTACAGCCAACATGAGATTTTTCTTGCTATAAAAGAAATTCAATAGACAGGCAAGTTTTAAAATTTCTTTCACACTATATTGCACAGTAACTCACAAAACTGAGTTACTGTGCAAAAAGTAAGATTCATGGAACCAACAAGATAGTGTGCTGAAGGGGAGCCTGACTACTGAACAGGGGGAATGGTACAGGGGGAGAGGAAGGAAAATCAGTTTTGGGTTCTAGTTCCTGTTTCCCATGTTATTTACACATATTCCCAATGACTCTTGCATGGAAAAAAAAGTTAAGTGCTTCACTGGAATATGGGATGAGACTCAGTGCACACTAAAGGCAATGAAAACTAGTGTCCTTTCCACTGCTTTATACCTGCTTAGGAACAGTTAGCTTTACACCACTGAGCTTTCCATCCCCTGAGGGCCAGAATTCAGCTCCTCTTTTAGTAAATAATGTGATCATTAAGCTAGTATTAAGAGGGCATAATATTTCCTTCTCCCCAGTGTTCAGGAACAACTCAGTGCAAACCAACAGCTGTATTACCGTCTGAACAAGCCCAACTCACCAAACCAGTTACAGACTTCTTAGAGATGATTATTTTCCTGCCCATCTCATTTAGGTCTCAACATCCTCAGAAAATCCCAACTGTGCAAAGATCCTCTCCCTCTTTGAGAGAGGTGTACCCCATCTGTCACCAGCAGGTCTGGTGTCATGTAAACTGACCCATGATCAAAACCACCAAAATTCTGCTGGCGACACCAGGCTTGAAGCCACGTATTGACCTGCTGGCTCTTCCCATTTCCTCCCTCATCATTCCCTGCAACTGGAAGGATAAAGGAGAACACTACTTGTTATTGCTGATCCCTTACTCAGTTGTCCCTGTATCACTTCAGAATTCAGCTATTCAGAATTAATGTCTATCACATGAACCACCAAAGCAGCAATGCTCCTTCAGCACAAAGTGTATTTAACAATTGTAACTTAACATAAATTATTTATGAAAGTCCATAATGGGCTATGATTTCCCACTGAATAATGAAATCTTCAATAGAGAGCCTTAGAATGGAGTGAAGCTATCATATTTCGAAAGAGAGGTGAGAGTGCCATTTTGGGTTACAGGACAGGATGACAGACTATTCCTGAAACAATGGAAATGTATTTCCAATTAAAAAAAAACAACCCAGAAACAAACCAAACCAAAAAAAAAACCCTGAAAAACCCACCACACAAAAATACCTAAACAAGAAAACCACCAAAAAACCCCACAACCCCCCCCGAAAATAGTCCTAGTTCAAATCTAACATTAGATACACAAAAAATCCATTATTCACTTCCAGTTTTGAATAAGCCTCAGTGAATTTCCTATATGTTGTGCAATTACAGAAAGTCTAAAAAATAATCTATGAATAAGCAGCAGCATGACAAAAAACCTTTACCATATTTGCAAGATAGGCCTTCCAGCTCTAAAGTGAGGTAAAAGTTATGGATATAAGAAATAGGGATTTGGAAAGAAGTAGGGTGAAAAATCCCCAATACAGAGCAGAATAAAATACCAAAGGCTAGAAGCACATGTTATCAGGACTCTGTCAAGCGAAAACATTTCCTAAAGCCTTTATCATCCTTTGTAAATTTAAAAGCTACACACAATCATTAAAGATCACAGATTATATCATTTGATTTGTTGTCAATCTTGACTCACACAAGAAGGACGTAGAGATAAAGATGATTTAAGCAGCAGCCGGTGATTTATAAAATAAATGAGCAGAACACACAAGACTGTTCAGAAGGAGTAACTACAGAGCTGAAGTAGGTCATCAATAGCAATAAATTTGAAATGAAACATACGCAAAGAACTGCCAGCAGAATAAGAAATGGATGGAAGTCATTTTGCTAGTCAAATGATCAATTGTTCTTCATTAAGCAATCTGTGGCACATAAAAGGAATGTCTGCCAATGATTTTCCTTTTTTTATATGACACTATATTTAGAGGCTTTGTCAGTGCTGAGGTAGACTGGAATATTGGGAATACACAAGTGACTTTGAGGTAACTTACAGTAAGAAGATTAACAGTGTGAAGCGCAAGGTTTTGCATTTAGACAAATTAACAAGAGGAAAGAAACAGCTTGTTGGCTTGTTTCATGTAGCAAAATGAAAGCTGAGTGCTGTCCAATTGCTTTTGAGAAATACATCACTCAAGGAGGGGAAACAATGTGAAAGAATAGTGTTGGCACCAAATCAAATTCATTTAAATATGCTACCAATTTATACTCTATAAAGACACCGCAGATTTATGTTGGAAATTAGGAGGTTTCTAACCATTACAAAATAAAGAGCTGGAACAGCAGCGGTAGTTTTAAGTAAGGTGTTATTTTTATTTTTTTTCCTTGGGCTGGAATCACAATTTATAGATGACTTTCAGGAGCTTTAAAAAATTGAAACAAATTTAATATTACTCATAATTTCAGGCCAAAATCAGCATGTAGATTGGCAGAGTCATTCTCCCCTTCCACTGTGGCTCAGTAGTTATTTCACTTTGGTGACAGCACAAAATCCTGCACTGCAGAAACATTTCGAAGCCAGAAAATACAAAGAAGCTTCAGAAAATGTAGCACTGATATTCTTGCAGATTCCCTCCCCTCTTCTCATATTCCTTTCAGTAAACTCATCCTCTGAAAGACCTAGTGGCTACCTATTAAAGCTGTTGCAACCCAAAGGCAAAAACCAAAAAAATGTATCAGACTTCTTTCAGTTGCAGATTTGATTGTTCATACAACAGTTCAGTTCTTCAGATTACTGAATCCAAACTCCATCATTGTTAGCTCTTAAGAGTCTGATTTAGAAAATGAGTGAGGCTGTCTAATATCTGAGGAATTCATGACAGCTTAAACCGCATGCATTGGAAGCCTCTCTCCTTTATAGTGCAAGCCTTAGAAGATACCTTACTGTATCAACCATGTATGTATTCATATATGAATGCATTTTTATTCATGAACTCTTATACGCTTGAAATGTAATTTTAAAGTATTACAATGTTCTAAAGGAAGAGAAAGAAATTAAACATGCCATTGCAGTCAAACATTTTAGCAATGTCTAAGAAAAAATTATTTCCATTATCATTTATGATCATTCAAATATACAGATTTGAGACATTTTCAACTTCATCACACCACTACTTACCTCATGCTTTAAATCTATTGTAAAGTCTGACTTGAGTGGTTCACTTTTCAACTTCTTTGCAAGCCTATACAATTAAAGATGAAGAAATCTATTAAAACCCCCCATATTTAAAAAAAAATAAATCAATCACTAGTGTATGCAGCAAAGTGTGGCTGGTATTACTGACCATCTAAGAAGGGGAGAAAAATAAATCACACTTTTGTATTTATGCCCCAAGAAGCAACTTATATTT